CGGGGGCCCCCCCCCTAGCCAGCCTAACCGGGGTGACAGCCCGTGAGCCAGCCCTCGGGATCGGATGGGCTGCTGCGGAGACCGAACGACTCGAGGACCGACGGAGCCCGGAAGGGAAGCCCATGGCTGTCGCTGGCATGAAAATGACGGCTGAACACAAACACGCACACGAGAATGAGACTGGGCGCGTGGGAGGCGGACCATGCGATTGCTACAGGGACAGGACCCATCCAGCGCTCTGCCACACCGGCCCACTCCCGCATCCCGCTCGGACGGCCCCAGGGCTCCGCAAGGCGCCAGGCGGCCCCGGGCACAGGACGTCTCTTCTGCTGAACAAGCATCGCGCTGGCACAAGGACCAGACCGACAGACCCGGGATCCACAGCCTCCAGGCAAAGCGCACGCAGCTGCTGGGCATGCGACCTGGACCCGAGGACATGCCCCCAGCGGGGAGGGAGCCCCTGGCCAGACCTCCAGTCATTTCCTTGAGGCCACAACACAGCTAGCGGGTGACTGCACCTGACCCGGGCGGGGTTTGAACCCATGCCCTCGGCAGAAGCTCCGTAGCTCTGGAGCTCCCCAGAGCTCAACACGACACCTTGGCTCAAGCCAAAGTTTCCAAGAACTTAGCCACCCCCGAGCAGAGCACTACCCAAAGCTGGCCCAGAATCAGCCTCAGGGCCCCTGCCTGGCCCCGGGCGTAGAGCTAATCTCCAAACAGTCGCTCCCCGCGGTAGCAGCGTGAAGCATCCAGTGCTGGCAGCTTGGCTGAGAGCCCCGGCAAGCCTGGCGTCTGAACCGGCCAGCTCCATGGAGAGCGAGTTGCTGCAACAAGCGAGGTTGGAGGGTGGACTGAATCACAGACATTCTGCATTAACAGCTGGCCTGGCCAGGTGCATCTGCTAGCATCCCCCACCCGGGACACCTCCGCGTCGCCAGCCAAGGAACTCACAGGGCTTCACAGACGTTAACGGTTCAAGCCTTCCTGGGTCCCGAAAGGAATTCTCCCCATTGCACGGAGGGGAAGGCGAGCCAAAGCATGCAGGTGGGCGGCCTGGCTTGCAGACGTACTGAGCTCTGCAACTCTGGGTAAGTCGGGTCCTAATCCAACTTGCCCTAGTGCAAACCTGAGCCGAGACGAACACTCACCAGGAGGTGAACGACAAGTCGACTCTCCGATAAACAAATGCTTATCCACTAGTTACTTCCCCCACCCCCCTGCTGCCTCAGTCAGAAAGAGGCAGCATGGGGATGGGGGAAAGAGGTGGGGGCGCTTCAAAGCAGCAGAGCCACGTAGAGCCCAGGGCCAGACCCCAGCTCCACCTGGACTGCCACTTTGAAATGCCGTGCGCAGGCTGGGCCAGCGGGGGCATTTCAAAGCGGCAGCACTGCGGGGTTCCAAAGGCGTTTCAAAGCGGCAGCACCGCAGGGAGCCCAGGGGCAGCTGAGTCCCCAGCTGACCCCGGGCTCCAGGCGGTGCTGCCGCTTTGAAACGCTGCGGGGAGCACGGGGCCAGCAGGGGACTGCTTGAGCACTGCAGCGCTTTCACCTCTGAAGTGCAGCAACAGCCCCGGAGCTGTTGCTACACTTCAAAGGCGGAGGCGCCTTATCGACTAATCAAACAGTCGATGCAAATTGCATCGACTATTCGATTAGCCAATTAATCAAAATGTTACATCCTTAACTAGCATTAGGGCAATCTGACATCCTCCCACAGGCCACGGGGGAGACTGCTGACTCCTCCGAAGTTCAGCCCATCCCTCAGCCCTGCCTTAGCTGGTCCGATATAGCCTGGCTTCCAAAGCAAAGGGGAGAGGATGGGGCTTACTGAAAAACGCCACAGAGCACCATGCAGGGAAGCCAGGAGCAATTCCTGGCCCAGCATGTTCTGGCCCCAAACCAAGCAGGGGCCCCTCAGACAGGTCGCATGCTCCCTCAAAGCGCCCTCCGCAGCGCGGGGCGGGAGAGGCGTTTCTACATGGACCCCACGTGACCATGGAAACCCTGAACCCAACGCAATGAGCACTGATGAGGGGGATGGCTATGGGCTCCCAAACCTGCCACCGGATCTTCTAGTATAATGGCGATATCCCTGGGGCCTCCTGAGCAGACAGCGCGGAGGAGGAAGAGGAAAGCGTTACGGAAGGGAGAGAAAACAGAGAGAGACGGGTTACTCAGCAAGACAGGCGCCCCGTTTCCTGCCTGACGCCAGCACCTCAGCTGGGAAGGGTGCCCTGGGCGCCAGCCTGGCCTCCCAACAGCCGCCCACGGCCCAAAAGGGCCAGCACTCACCCACAGCCAGGGAGCTGTGAAGGGAAGCCCATCCCCCCAGTCTGGTCTACCCACCGGGGGGGAAGCGGGGGGAGTTGCACCATTACCACACAGGTCTGGCCCTGCATTCTGGGGCTGGCCCCAGCCAGGGCCTATCTGCAGCTCAGACGAGGCCCTGGAGAAAAGGTTCAGAACAGGGATGGGGCAATAATTTTTGCGGGGGAGGGGGAAGAAGGGCACTTCATGAATGTCAGTTCATGGTCATAGGCCGGGTCCAGGCCCCCGGAAGGGAGGAGCCTCGAGGGGAAAGGGGCGGTTCCTTCTAGGTGCTGCATGCCCCAGCAGGGGGAGGAGACTCGACGTGCTCCCGCCCCCTAGGCCAATCGGGACCCGGGGACGGGGGAGTGCGCGACGTCATTCGCTGCTCCAAACTGCTGCTGGCTCCCTCCAGGCCCCGCCCCCC